CGACTACACGCTATGTGTTATCACTTGTTTCGCCGTGCTGATGTACTAACTGTTGAGTTTATCGCGTTCTCGGCTTTGTTTGTATTTATTTGATCGCTTATAATTTTTGAATGGCTCATTCTATCAGCTTTAAGAAAATATATGGTTTTATATACCTTTTATCATCTGTTGAGCCATAAATGGTCATCTCGGGTATCTCAGCTGATCTCCCCCCACCACACCCCCATGTTTACAACCGATCGGCCGCGGTGGCGAGGCATTTTTGGCGGGTTACTTCCGGTGAAACGCTGAGCGCTTCTGGGCTTAATCTTCCACAAGATGTGCAGATAAACTGAGCCCAGAGAGCATTTTTTGTCAGCAGAGAGAAAACTTTTCTTTTATACTTAGCAACCTATTGTACCTACATGATGTATATGGGAGGCAGCGTATCCAAATCAGGCACTCATCAAAACAGTGACATCAAAGAAACCGGCATTTTTCTGGACATTTGGTAATTTGTTTTGAAATTTCTTTTTTTGCCTCAACAACATTTATGTCACTTTCAAAACATATTTCTGTGTGAATGTTACCGAAAAACGTTCCTTAAAGGCACAAAAAATGTGAATTTTTCTTCCAAGAAAATTCAAGCTTTGGAAGTCACCAAGCTTTGGCAAAAGACAAAAGAAGAAGCTTTAAGATGATATTAATAACTGTATTTGCAAAAAAATTGATGAGCGCCTGATTCCACTGCGTCTTAACACATATTTTCTTTCTTTTTTCACCATTTAGAATTTATGTTTTGGCAAAATTTTCTTGAGTCAATGCAAACGATACAAAAGATGAAAAAACTGCAATAAGAAAAATGAAATTGGCTTAGTACCTCTGAACAGCTGGCTAACAAAAGGTGAAAATAATCTGCTTGTTGGCGCATTCTCTTATGTTGATGCACCCTGAAGAGACCTCCAATAAGAACACTAAATGATGATGTTCTTTATGAAAGGGATTAACTTCAGCTTTTCTCATACGATTTATTTAGAACAAAGATGATTACAGTTGAAATTGTCCAAGACGGCCACCCATTGTGGATGAGAAAAGAGGTTGTCGTAGACAGGTGGTACACCTTGAACTGTGACATTATCCTATGTGAGGCAGCGTGGTGAAATCAGGCACTCGTCAAAATAATGAAAGTGAAGAAACTGGCATTTTTCCCACAGGTATGGGAATTTTTATTGAATTCTTGTTTTGGGGCTCCACACCTTCCATGTCCATCGAACAGCACATTTCTGTGTTGATTGTACGGAAAAACGTCTATTAAAGGCATAAAAATTGTAAATTTTCTATTTCCACTGACTTTCAAGCTTAGGAAATAACTAAACTTTGGTGGCCATTTTCTCAATAATTTTGCCCTTGAGACTAGGAAACCCCCACTTCCTTCAATCGTAAATATCTCAAATTGTATTCAAGATAAATAGATGATGATACCAATAACTCAGCATGCCCAAAAATTGACGAGCGCCTGATTCCATAGCATTGTCACACATATAACACATATAGTAGAAATTTGCTGGCTTAGAATTACAAAGTTCCATCTGCTAAGAACATGTTATGTAGTTTTTAAAAATTTGACGTAAAACATTTTGAGATTTACAACATGTCGAGCTTTCCTGAAAACAATTCTATGAATATCTTGATAAAAGACTCCAAATAATCAAACGATTTCGATTGAGCTGATAGAACATTTGGTTTCTGACCTCATGGTCTTAGTAACTTAACACAGCCAAAAGTGTCAGATAGAACTTTGTAATTCTTAGGAAGCAAATTGTCTGAGAAAAGTCCAGGACAGGTGGACGTCTTACACAATAACTAAATAACAGGATGTCATCATGATGCTAAAAAAGACGCACAGGAGGAAATGGGAAGTGGTCGTTTGTACGGGTGATTATTTTGGACTGGTGGCCATTCCACTGTAGTTTTGAGCAATCAATAAATCTGACAAAATGTGGCTAGCGAGCCATCTTTTTCCCCACCTCACCTAACGTTGATGTTCTTTGTCTTCAGGTCAGTCAACTTTGGAGCTATCGGCACGGTGATGGGCCACGAAATTACTCACGGATTTGATGACAGAGGTAAGATCGTGTGGACGTGTTTCTGAGGTAAGGACGTGTGGTGGCCATATTCGTGGCTAAATGCTCTACATCTATATATTCAAAGGTCTCTAGCTGAGAAATTTCAAGTCATATATGAATAACATTGTGGGGAAACCAGGCACTCGTCTAAATAATTAAAGCGACATTTTTCCTCCCGTTTCGGCAATTTTTATCGCATCATTTTGATTTGGGCTCAACACCTTTAGTGTCCGTAAAGAAAGCATTCCAGAGTGGGTTTTACTGGAAAACATCGATCAAAGATAGCTAGATCGATAGCCAGAGAGACAGACGGACAGACAGACAGACAGACAGACAGACAGACAAACAGACAGACAGACAGACAGACAGACAGACAGACAGACAGACAGACAGAC